CACACAAACACAAACACAATTATAATACTATGTATATATTTAATTATCTACTATTATTACATTAAAAAACAATATATACATACAATGGCTGAAGGATACAGTATACTCTGTATATTAATATACTAAAAACACCATTGTAATGGACTCTATTTCATTTTGGAAAACATATCTCATATCTCATATATATATATATATATATATATATATAAATATTTAAAGTACCAAAAATATTCAAAGACTATTTGAATGCTAAAATAAAGGAAAGAAATTTAGAATAGAAAAAGAGAGTGATTTGAATGCTAATTCAAGCAACTAAAATTTAGAATAGGAAATATGAGGAGAGAGAATATAAAAGATAAATAAGGATAAAACTAATCTCATAATTTATGTTATTCATTAATTGTTTCCATAAATCTTTACGGTATGCTGATATTGTAAAAGAATGTGCTATATATGGAATAAATAAAAATTAATACCATTTTCTTAAATACTTTTTAAAAGATGCCCCGTAATGTATTTTTCTCAATATTCTAAAAGGAGAGCTTTTGTTATTTTATTCTATTTTACTTAAATAAACAAAAGCTGGAGTTCTCTTGTCATGTAGGCGGGAAACGCAATACTTTGCCACTGGCACCTTGGCTGCTTCTATTAATGCGGGTGGCAATTCAATCATTTATACTATTTCATATATATATATATATATATATATATATATAGATAGATAGATAGATAGATCCGCCCTTGTTTATAGCAATCCTGAAAAAACTAATGACATTAGGTAGCTATAAAATAAATCATATAATTAATAGTCCAAAACCAATTAGCCAAAAAATACCGTCACTCTCCCCCCCCTTCAAATTTCAAATTTTTCAGCCCCGTAACCTGCTTTAATCCATACTTTCCCTTTACTCCATCACCTACTTAGAGAAATTCGAAGTAAATTGTTTGGGCATTTTGAGACGAGGCACATAATTAGTTTGTGAAACGGACCAATTTTCTTCTCGCTAATAGTTGAGGTCAGATTACTTTTGTTGTTGCTTGAATTGTGAATTGGCCAAACTTACCTTACTGACTACCAGCAAAAGCTTTTCAACATGGATTTTTTTACAAGAAAATGGTCAAATTTATCCTAGAACTATACAAAGTGATTTTATATTTTGCTCTGAAAATTGAATAACAAAAAAAGTAACGCTTTTAAATTAAGTTTGGAATAACAAGTCTATTGTATATAAATTTTATAGTGACAGTCTATTTTATAAATATTTTGTAAGAGTGACAGCGGATTTTTAAGTGTCAGTATACAAAATATATATAAAATAGACTGTCACTATACAAAAATATACAAAATAGACTGTCACGATACAATTTATTACAATAGACTGTCAGTACACAAAATATATATGAAATAGACTGTCACTATATAAAATACAGTCAGACCTCTCTATAACTGTATCTCTATATAACAACCATTTACTATAAAAACCATTTTTTTCGGAACCGGTTTTATATTATGTTATAATATATGTCCTCTATAACAACACCTCACTATAGCAGTCAAAAAATATTGGAACAAGCGAGGCTGTTATAAAGAGGTTTGACTGTATATGCTAAATAGACTGTTACTATACAAAATAGATTGTCACTATATAAAAAATATATAAAATAGACTGTCACTATACAAAAATATATAAAATAGATATTCCGGGCTATTAAATATAATATGTTTGGGTCAGAGGGCTATTTTGTGTCAATAAGAAAAAATATGGGCTATTAAAATTTTGAGGGGGCTATAAAGGATAGTTTTCTCTTTATTTATCGGGATAGTTTTAAAAATAGCCAGATTTACAACTGGTCGTTCAAAAATAGCCCAATTTCAAAAGTAATCGAAATTTAGCCACTTTTTATGTAAAGATAAATCTAAGCGAAAACACTGTTCAAAACCCGGAAAATACTCCAGTATATTATGCTAGAGTTCCAGCATAAGTATACTTGAACTCCAGTGTATTATACTTGAATTCCAGGATAGTATGTTGGAACTCCAGCATAATATGATGGAGTTCCAACATAAATACACTAAAACTCCAGCATAATATACTGGAGTTCCAGCAAGTATAATTGTCCAGTATAATATACTGGAGTTTGGAGCACCAGTGCTCCAGTCTCCGGTATATTATACTGGAGCCAGCAAAGTATACCGATCCAGCATAATATGCTGGAGTTCATACACAAGTGCACCGAACTCCAGTATATTATGCTGGACTGGTCTCTATTGCAGCAAAACGGTGGCTATTTTTCATTGACTTGGTAAACGCTGGCTATTTTTGATTGACCAGTCCGAAAACTGGATATACCGTGAAATTTTGGCCTATTTATCTCACTATACCCCATTGGGCTGATCGGTAGGCCCAATTTAGATTTGGGTGAATGACACAGTTACCTACAAAAATAAAACTATTTACCCTTACCTACCCATTTATTTTTCTACCCATCAAACTAATTACATTTACTACCCATAGTAGTGTTTACGGGGAGTTTTCTCTTTTTTCTCAAATTCTTTTTTATTTCTATGCTTCTTTTCTTTTTTCCTTTTTTTCTCCTTTTTTTTCTCGTTTTCTTCTTGTTTTTTTCGTTTTTTCTCTTTTCCTATTCATTTATTTTTGCCCAAATTTTATTATTGTTATTTTTACCATAACTTATTTCACACTCAATTTTGACTCCTTTATTTTTTATTTTCTTTATTTCTTGTTCCTTTTCTAATTCCATTTAACTCCTTTTTTCTTTTATTTTTTTTATTTCTTGTTTCTTTTCTAATTTCATTTAACTTTTTTTTAATATTCTTTTTTTCTCTTCATAATCTAATTTTATTTTCTGTTTTCACTATTTTTTATTATTCTTTTTTTTATACAATAAGAAAAAATAACTGATATAGTAAATATTTGTTCAACTTTTTTTAATATAACTAGTATAATATACCTTTTGTCTTTTTTCTCATTTTTTAATTCAATTATTAAACTGAAATAATATCAGTTGTCACTTGATCTAATTCACTGAATATCACACTGACTACTGCTAAGCACCATAAATTACATAATCAGATTCTAAGAATCAACATGTGATAGCCATGCAAACCTTGATCTCCTTCCCAAAAAATATGAGTACACACTCTACCATTAGCAGTAATACAACTAGTTATGGAACAAGAAAACACAATCTACAACCACCAAATCTCCATATATACTAGTTAGAATAGAAATGATAATAAAATACAAAAAAATACAATTAAAGTATAAGTAACAAAAAAGACTTTTTAGTACCATATGATACCAATATGGTATACATGTATACCAACAGAGTATATGATTGCTCTAGAATATTGTTACAACAATCTGCGACTATATTAATGTACCAAAACATTAAAGGATGCAATAAAAGTATGAGAAAATTACATGCTCGCATTGCAAGCTAAAATTCGCAAAGCAACTTACTCTATATTAACAGGGTATGTAGTTGTATCGGGTCGCTCCAACAATTGCCTGTAACTATAAAAATTATTACATAATACACATAATCTATATCCATCGGTACAAAAAAATTCCAACACTGCAAATCATGTTCATATAAATAACTCCAGAACAGAATTCACTTAAAAATACAGCTAAAACAACCAAAAAAATGTTTAAACTGCCATATGATACCAATATGGCATATTACTATACCAACATGGTATACAGTTTTACAGGTTAATTTTTGGCAACTATATGACTATACTACTATTATATAACACACATGCATAAAGAGAAAAATAACAAAATAGTGTACCACATATCAATATAATAAAGTATTTCAAGATATTGTACTACATTACCATTATTAAAAGAAAATCAAATAGTGTACCAATTAAATGCAGCTAATAAAATCAAAAAAGGATTCAACTAACATATGATACTAATATAGTATATAGCTATACTAATAGGGTATATAGTTGTACGGGGTCGTTCCAACAACTGCATATAACTATAAAAATTATTACATAATACACAAAATCTATGTCCATAGGTACAAGAAAATCCAACACAACAAAATATGATCATATAAATCATTTCAGAATAGTATTCACTTGAAAATGTAGCTAAACAACCAAAAAATATTCCAACTACCATATGATACCAATATGACATATAATTATACCAATAGGGTATACAGTTCTACTAATTAATTCCACACAACTATATATGACTATACTACTATTACATAATACACATGCATAAAGAGAAAAATAAAAAAATAGCGTACCACATATTAATATTAATATATTCCAAGATATTGTACTATAATACTATTATATAAAACAAACGCATAAAGAAAAAATTAAAATGACTACATAATACATATGCATAAATTAAAATTAGAAAAATCCAAAATATTGTACTATTCTACTATTACCAAAGAAAAATCAAACAGTGTACCAATTAAATGTAGCTAATACAATCAAAAAAGGTTCCAACTAACATATGATACTAGTATAATATATAAAAATACCAACATGGTATACAATTGTATGCAAAGAGTTTAATTTTTTTTTTTAATTCAATTATTAAACTGAAATAATATCAGTTATCACATAATCTAATTAACTCAATTTTGTACGTCATCGATTATACTAAATTTTAGACATGTTACAATAATATACTCTATACCATTTTGAAATGGAGAATAAATTAATAAAAAATATTCAATGAACAAGTACATCCTATTATGAAATGAGAAAGATAGAAGAAAAATATTTATTTATATTTGAGAAGACAATAAAAGAGAAAATAGGTTGGGGCAACTAATGGAATTTTACGTGATACGAGATAAGAAAGGAAAGGATTTTGAAAAAAGGTAGTTGGGTAAATACTTTAGATTGCATAGGTACACATTATAAGAAAAATTAGAATGGGTAGTAACGGATAATTAAAATTGCATGAATAGGCATATTGAGCAGATTTCCCATTCAAACGGGTGCCCAACTCCAAACGGGTCAAAAGCTAACATAAATGGCGTTTGAGCAAAAATATCAACAGAAACATGAGATCAAGTAAAGAAAGCAAAAGGAAAAACAAGTATGCTTCATCCCCAACAAGAACCCGACCCGTTAAACCATCAGGACCCGACTCAAGACCTCCCTATTCCGGGCTATCTCCTCCACCATCAGCTGCTCTCCTTGAGAGTGAAATTGTCACTGATTCAGACTTGGCTTTGTTTGAGAAGCTTGAAATTTCTTCCAATAACAACCCAAGAAGTTTCCCGTATAGTGTGAAGCAGCAGTGTTGGGAGAAAGCGGAGAAAGTGAAGGGTAGAGACCCGGACCGATGGCGCCGCGACCCGTTGGGGAACATACTGTTTCGGAAGCTTGTGGGTTGTCCTGGTTGTCTATGCCATGACTATGACCATATTATTCCCTATTCCAAGGTACTTTTCTTCCAAGTTCTCAATTTTTACTCCCTCCATTTTGTGTTGTGTGTCAATCTCTTTGATTGGAAATCGAGTATGAGGAAGAAAGAAAGATTTGACAGGTAAAGAATATACCAAAACTAGGTAATTTGCCCGCGCTTCGCGCGATTATAAATGACATTATTAAATCTCACTTATTTGATTTTATTATCGTGCAATCTCACCAATATGTAGGGAGCCCTGTCGAACCGTTGGACATGTAAAAATGATTTGACTATTATTAAATTTATAAGCATGATCCTTCAGGTGAAGCAAACCCCAGAGATATGTGTTACAACCTGAGTAATTAATATAGGACCTATTAGATAATTGTACACCAATTGTACTTATTATTAACAATTCATGAAGTTGGTTGAATTAATTCTGTACTTTATCCTGGTATTAAATAATTCCGAAATTATTGTTTCACCCTCAACATGGAATAGAATAATATTACAATCGTGGAGTAAATTAATCCTGGGATTGCTAATATGTTAGTATAAAGGAATGGCAAATATACTATTCCACATTCTTTTGATGTAAATTCTTCCAATTCATTACAGTAATTATCATTTAAACACCAAAACATATCAATACGCCAGGTATCATTTATGAAATAATTATAGTGAAGGCTTCCAGGATGGCTTACCAATTAGAAGGTGTTCTGTTCATTATTTTGGATGGCTTAAGCCCAGAAATAGTCGAAGTCATTCTATACATGACCAAAAGTCATAAATACAATCACATAATATCTATACATGAAATACAGTAGCAGTCATTCTTTTCATTAATGATCAGGGAGTTTATAAATTTCAGCTCTCTGTTGTGCTTGTTTTATTTTTCAAATATTCAATCTGCATTTGTGAGATTGTTGTATACATAGAATCGATCTAAACTTCTGGTTCTTTAGTTGCACCTGTAGCAGTGATAAATGTAATGTTAATTGTGAAAACCAAAAAGAAAGCCCGAACTCTCAAATGTAGTATGAACATTTACCGTGAAATTAGTTGAAGTAATCTGGTGTGCGTGATGTATAATTGTTTTATCCACTGTAGGAATCCTGTAGGACAAAAGATAAGTTATATTCTGAAATATATAAGCATATGGAATACTACACTAACCAATTTAAATTTAAGTTGGACTCTATAAGAACAGATCATCCTATAAGCTACCTTTATGCTTTATTTGAGAATGTTAAAAAGGCAGGCAAATATCATAATGATTAATGAAGCAAATAAAATTTCCAAAAACTAAGAAATTCCTGTCTCTTAATGTACTGTGATAATATAATATAGTCAAACTTCATATCAGTAAACTATATATAAATAACATTTAGAGATATTGTTGCCAAAGGCGCGAGTATTGAAGGTAGAGAAGTAATAGGAACTTCAAATTCTATGCAATACAAGTATACAAGGCTACAATGAAAGTATAATATAGTCTACACTCCATATCACTAATCACTACAGTATATATAAACAATAGTTACAAATATTATTGTCCAAGGCGTGACCTACATCTGTGTACTCGTTATATATTTTGTCTATAGATGTGAGGAAGCAATCCAGTTGTTATTTATTGCAAGTGTTGGAAGGCAACATTCATGAATAATGTTATCAAAGGCGTGCATTTTAAAGATAGAAAACTGGAAGTTGAAATACTATGCAATACAAATATGTAAAGGTACAACAAAAATGTAATATAATCGTCTAAACTTCATATATATTGTTGTTGAAGGCTTGACCTGCCGACAAAAGAACTAATTGTATATATTATAAAGTTCAATTTACCTTTTAAAATGCTTCATGATTGTAAATTTGCAACAATTTTCTCCATTATGTTAATCTATAGAAAGAAACAAAGAAGAAGAAACAGAAGAAAACACAAAAGAAGAGCGTAAAAAGAGAAGAAACAATACAAAAAGCTGAGAAAGTAAAAACATGAAGATTTAGAAAGTAAAAAATTATTTACTATATCATATCTGAATACTCGATGTCCTTATAACCATGATCAAACAAAAAAAGATGACTGAGGAAAAAGAAGGGATTAGAAAATGAAAACCAGAAGAAATTTAATGAATTAGTGAAGATTCTTATTGGCACAAATCAACAAAGAATATCCAACCTTTTCTTATTCTTTTTGCTCCAAGTTCTTCTATTCCTCCCACGACCAGCTATCCAAACCACTCCTTATCCTAAACATGAATGTTACATATCCAGATTTTGGATTGAAGAAACAATCATGAACCAAGTCGCAATAAAAAAAATTCCATGGGTTCACTTAGTAGTCTCCAATTTATTTAGCCAAAGGCATGCGTGTTAAAGACAGAAAACTGGAAGTTGAAATATTATGCAATACAAGCATCTAGGGTAAATTGACAATGTAATATAGTCGTCTGCACTCCATATCACTAAACTGTATATAAATAACATTTAGACATATTGTTGTCGAAGGCTTGACCTGCTGAAGGTAAATATGACTGGAATTTATTCATCAAGAAAAGACATAACTATATAATGTTACGTGAAATAAAGAGCCTACTGTTTCCAAAATCTCATACAGATTAATACCAGGATCCATTTACATTTACCCCTGGTATACCCAAACTCACATCTATAGACAAAAGTTACCAGCCATATTTTGTTTGTTCAGGCGAGGCAAATTAAAAAACTCTTGCCAGCACAATCAGCAACTCATAGTTTAGGTTAAAACAGGGAAAAACTAAATGGATCCTGATCTAAATACATACGAGATGAAGTGAAGAAATAGACTCTTTACTTCAATATTAAGATACTCATGCCAACACACTGATTAGCTCATAGTTTTGGTTAAAGTGGAAAAACTAAATGGATCCTGGTCTAAATTTCTATGCGATTTTGGATGGGATATACTCTTTACTTCAACATTAAGAAACTTATGCAAACACAATCAGTAGTTCATACTTTTGGTTATCACAGGGGAAAAATAAATGGATCCTGGTCTAAATATGTATTTGAGTTTGAGAGGAACTCATGCCAGCAGAATCATCAAATCACATTGTTATTTATGACAGGTAAAAACTTAATAGTTCCTGGTCTATATCTGCAGGCAATTTTGGAAGAAATAGTCTCTTTACTTCACGTAAGGTTATTTAGTTATGTCATTCATCGATGAATAATTTCCATTGTTCTATAGGTGTGACTTGTGAGTAATCATCCAGTTGTTATCTATTGCAAGCATGGGAAGGCAACATTTATAGATATTTTTGTCGAATGCATGAGTATAGAAGTATGAGAAAGAACTGTGTGTTTTGGAGGCAAAGAAGATGACTTAGATAACGCCGAGAAGGCAATAATATGAGATAACAGGAATGCTATGGCCATCACTATTTTGCGGGGAAAAATATGTTTCTGATCAACATAATGTTGGAGGCCATCGCATTGAGAAAGCACAACACAATTGCACCTTTGTGAAAGAATGTTGTAGCAGATTCTTCATAATCTGTCAATTTAGATCCATTTGTTTTTTCGACACAAATTGGGTGCGACTAAATGTGAATAATAGGAGAACTTGTTCGGGGAAGTGTGTCTTTTGTAGGAGAAAGAAGAGGACTTAGATAATGGCGAAAAGGCAGTAGTATGAGAAAATTGAAAACTTTAGTCCATGATCATATTTTAGTGGGTTTTTCGTTCCATGATGACTAAATTATTGAACCAATGTTAGATGCATATGTCGCGCTTTAAGCAGAAAAAAATTGTGTAGAGAAGATTGGAAAATATTGCCTAAACTATAACATCAATTGAAAGAAGTTGTTGTCGAATCTTATCATACTTAGTGGTGTAACAGGGGAAAAAAATATGGTAGTAGTATTTCAGAACGTTTAGAGCAGCAATTCTGAACTGTGTGAAAATCTGATTGATGAAGAACATCATGCATGTACCTCAATCTAGTATCGGTGTTTTGTATTCGTATTAGGTGTGCGTGAACACCTATCTTTGTTGAACGGACCTATTTGTTTTGTCTTCGTATTCCTTGTGCGTCCGCACCCATAGCAGTTGAGCGGACATAATGTTTTAGCAGCAAATATATTTTCTGAAAATAGAATCAGATTAATGAAGTAAACCAGGAGAATGATGGGTAAGGATAATCGGTAAACATTGTTTCAAACGGTTTACATACCGACATTTGTTTGTTGAGCCAAAGTAGTTTGTGATTGCGGGTTGAAGTTTTTTTTGGGTTGACGAACAGTTCATGGTCCGTAAAGTAAGTATGTCGTGGCTAAAGAATGGAGACATTCGCAGGGAATTAGAGATACTGTATGTTCCAAATAAAACGTCAGAGCGAAGAAGGTAGAGAGGGCAATTGAAAAGATGGAGACAAATTGGAAGATATATAAGGAGGAAATTAGGGGAAAAGGGAGTAGAGAAACGGTGGCATATAAACTGGATGTGAAACGTTTAGGGTATTTTGAGAATGTGTGTATTTTGAGAAGAAGCGGAAGAAGCAGTGTGGGCGTATACGTGAAGCCTAGAAAATAGAATTCCTGCTGATTGAGAGTGCCACCTCACCGGCCTTAGGCCCTCAATTATATATATATAGATGCTCTTAGACTCTACTTCTCACTCCATTTCAATTAATGCGACTGTAGTTTGGCTCGGCATAAGTTTAAGAAAAAAATAAACTATTGAAACTTGTGGTCAAACATGTTTAATATATACGCCCTCCATTTCAATTTAGATGAGGTAGGCCATGACATTTGTGCGGTTATAAAAGCTTTTCATGTAGAATAAATAGTTTAAAGTTGAATTATTTTTAAATTTAGAAATGTGTCATTTATTTTGAAACGGAATAAAAAGGAAAGTACCTCATCTAATTTGAAACGGAGGGAATATAAATATAAATATAAATATAAATATAAATATAAATATATATATATATATATATATATATATATATATATTTCTTTTTGATAAATATGTGGCTATAAGAAATTTAAAACTTCTGGTTTTAAATATTCCACAATATATGTGTGACTATAAAAGTTTCTCATTAAGATAAAATAGGTAAAATAGAAAGTTTAAAGTCAAAATTATTTCCAAATATAAAAATATGTTATTCTTTTTATGTTCTAATAAGGAAAGTGTCACATAACATGGAGGGAATAGTTATTTTTGATGCCATGTAATTTTTATAGAAGTATGTCATTAATGTTAAAAGGGGAAGTTAGAACTAAAGTTTTCATAAATATAGAAAGCTGTCAAATTTTATAAATAGACCACATACAAAATGAAACTGATGGAGTATCTTTTAGATTTATAAGATGGACAAGTCTTGTGGCTATGCAAAGCATAAACCGTTCAGACTCAAGTCCCTATCTGGATAAAGTAGGAGAGTTGTGTAAAAACTATCTTGTGAACAGATTGAACAGACGGTTATGAAAAATAAGTGTGGCATCACTAGTAGGGTCACTGGAGATAGATGTAGTGCCTTCGCAAGGATCACTTGGAGATCGGCACAGTACCGTCGGAGCTGGCACCGAAAATAGAAATGTTGCTGCTTGAATGGTAGGAGTTACTTAAACGGTTAAACCACTACCACAATTGTAGAGGCCTCTGATACCGTTTTTAAATAACAAGAGAAATGAAGAGATACATAGATAACTTGATGATTTGGTAAATACGAAGCATCACTTTTTTCAAACAAAAGACACAGATGATATGTCCAGTGTGGGACATCTCAAAAAGAACTTTATATTTCTAACATTCTAACACTAACTCTTTAAGGGGTCGTTTGGTAGAGTGTATAAGAATAATGCTAAATAAGGTGTATTAGTAATGCATGGGTTTGTAATGCAAGCATTAGCTATACAGAGGTTATTTCTTATATATTGTTTGGTGTGGTGTATTAAAAATTAAAATCCATTACTTAATCGTTAAGAAAATTGTTTATTTACAAAAATGCCCTCCATGTTCTTTAGCTTTAAAGGACTTTAAAGGATAATTTGGCCTTTAACTATGCTAATGCTTGCATTAATAGCCTTGGTATTGCTAATACCATGATTTGATATGCATTAGCTATACATAGAATAATACCAAATATGATATATGACTAATGATTATATTAGTAATACATATGTTGAAAAAGCATAGCAAACAAGGTTTTACTAATACACAAAGCTAATGCATGCATTATTTTTTCTAATGCACTCTACCAAATGACCTCTAACATTCTAACAACCCATAAAAGAAGCTCTGTAACATTCTAACAAATTAGCTTCAGAGAAGTTTGGAGCTTCCACTTGTCCTTTTTCTGGAAAAAGGAAAGGAAGGAAAACAACATAGTGAGACAGGTGCTTAGGACCACCGCCAGATAAGTACAAGCTACCTGTGTCTCTATCGAGATAGTAGAGGTGCTGAAACCGTGTGGAAAAATAAGAGAATAGAGATAGCAGATGCAGGGTACCATGTGAAAAAATAAGAGGGAATACTTGATCAGCTGATGAACACAGGACAGAGCTATTTATATGTGTTAACATAATATACATGATATTTGCACACTGCAAGACAATATCTAACATCAACATTGATCCTTTAAACATTATAGCATTTTAATAAAAACCCTTGACATTCTAACATATAAATTTATCAACTCAAAGCTCTGTACTGAAATTTCCTTGTGGTGCTTGTACCTCACTCCTGTGGAAAGAAAAAGGAAAGTCAAAAATAGAAGTTACAACATTTCTAAAGACCTGAATTGGGGGTATGACCGTTCTTCCTTAGCTTGTATAACGGATCTCATTTCATTGGCAGGATTGTTAGACTAATCGGTCAAAGACATTCTTCACATGGACTGCATGATTAGAACTTGATAATGCTTCATGATTTTTTTTTTTTCTAATCTCAGTTCTTTTGCATGTTCATTTTTCATTTTATCACACCTGTGATTGCAGATATATCCAAAACTGAGTCAAAAATCAAACAAGTAGTAGAAGTTTTCTTTTCTTCCCAAAAATTCTGCTCAGTCTTAATTGATTGGGACTTTGTTAGACTTTGCAAAAGCAAATAAGAAGATGAGGAAGAAGCAAAAGAAGAGTATATTGTATAGGAGGAATTCTGGGAAAAAAATACAAGCATGCTTAGGTTCGTAGAATGCACATTGTAAATGGCTTTGCAAAAGAGCTAGTAGTTTCCAACATCTTCATTTCTTTTCCTTTATTTCTTCTTCTTGGGTTTGCTACAGAAGGTGGGGCAAGTGCTAAACTTGCTAATGAAATTGTTTTGTATATTCTATTTTGTAATGCTCTATGATATGGCAACTTCTAGCCTTAGCTTTGTGTCATCAACCGAAAAGCTTGCATTATAAATGCCATATTTTCTAATCTGTTGTACTGATTATAAATGTCTGCTTCTTGAGAAGATGGACTAGTCTTTTCAAGCCACTGTCTGTTATAGATGATTTATTATTGACACAAAATCTTTTTTCCCAACATTTTTAATTGAGGCTCTTTTTTCCCAACATTTTTAATTGAGGTTATCTGTTTCAAATTTTTGCAGGGTGGACAAAGTACATTAGAGAATTGTCAGGTTCTGCAGGTGAGTTTTTCTTTCCTGTAAAACATATCTGATTGTGCTTTATGTGGAGTATCTTGAAAAATTCATAGCTGCACTATGTTATTGTCTGATTCATTTTGACAGATAATCTGTATGATAGTTTATACTAAGTGCTGCTTTTGAAGACAATGTTTCATTAATGATTTGAAACATATTCTACTTTATCTGTTAGCTGCAAGTTCATCAGAAAAACAAGGAGTATTAAGACTATTTAGGGATTATTGTCACTTGCGTATCTTGTGCTTTTATCTCCTTATATTTTTTGCTGCTTGGGTTCTCCATTTATATCCACGTTCTCTGGACTAGTTATTTGTTTGACTGCTCCTTTGTGATTGCTGGATGTTTAAAATGTGGTACATTTCCTAGATCCAGTGTCAATCTCAATATTGAAATGGAACTTGGCTAGCCAACCTTCGAAAAAAGCCAAAGAGAAAAGGTTATGATTATTTAGAGAGCGGGTAGAAAATGGTTTAGTGTGTCTAAGAGTTGACATAGTTGACGGTACGACTATCTTCCTGCAGGCCACAGTTAATCGATCCAAGGGGAATCGAACTGATATATCAAAAGCTGAACTTATTAAGAGAAGTTCTTATTGTCGGGTTTCAGGTAGATGCAGTCTTGTGTTCAAGTATTTATAGTTCATGATTTATCTCTGCCAATTAACCTTTTAAAACTACATCCAGGTCGTGACATGGATCTTCTTGAACTTTCTGCCTACGGCAATGTCCGTCATGGGCAAGATTCTGGGGGGTGTAAAATTCAGTGAGTCATTATTTTGATAATTTCAGTATTACAACTTCTTTGTACAAGATACTCAAGAATGACATTGATACACTTCTCTTCCTTAATCAAAGGAAAGGGTATCTCTTGGAATTTAGGCCTTATATTCGTGTATCAAATTGCCCGCAGTTGTTAACTCACAACTGTAGCTAGCTTCATGATCCTTGCTACTTGTATTTATTCTCTTTACAAATCAATTAAAGCTCTTCACTACTTCCACACCTCTTATTTTCTTCTGTTTTTTGTCTTCGCTTTTTGTATTTTCTGTATCTTTATACGTGCAAGTTAATACCCTTCTTCTGTCCATTCTGGAGTAGACAAAGGAAGTGTCTTGAAAAGTGGTATTACTAGTTAATGAAAGCTCGAGGAATTTTGTTGAGAACCTTTCAGCTTCATGTAAAGCACTTCTGACTTGTTTTTCGTAGTTTGTGTAGGTGCAGCCAGTTGTTGTGTAGGTGCAGATTAATTACCTCTGCAATTAGGGATGGCAATGGGGCGGGCGGGTTTATTTTTTTAAGAAAAAATCTTTGCGGGTTGCGTGCCGGGTGCGGTCTTATTAAAAAAAAGCCACATTCAGTCTGAAATCTAACCACGGTCACTAAGCAGGTGTAATGAAACATATTAGTGACTTAATGTAGTGCTTAATTGCACTTGCACCTTCAATGTCGTTTGAAAATGAGGTATTTTGTTGGAAAAAGGCAAAACACAAATAGGTGGTCTATATTTATTATCAGTTTGAATTTTGAACTATCAAAATGGTTGAACACTAATCTGGGATGGGCAGGATGTTGCTAATTTCAGGGAAATTCTTTGTTTTGAAAAAATCAAATACACCATCTATATCATGGAAATTCTTCACGAATATAATTGTGTTACTCCTATCCTTTTCTAATAAATCACTTAAAACACTAATGTGGTGCAAATCTTAAATAAAAAATTATTTATCTTACTAAATAGATTAGGTTTTGGCTCAATAATTTTTTTAAAGGGCACAGTAGCTTAAGAGCAACAAAAGAGATTTCAATCTTTCGCTTGATTAAATCAGAGAGTCCAACCAAAAGCTCAAAAGAAATAAAACTGAAAAAATGAAAGAAAAAAAAATGCGGGGCGGGACGAGGCGAGGCGGGTGTGAGTGCGGGGTGGGTGTATGCGGGTGCAAATGCTATGCGGGGTGGGGCGGGTTTAAATCTTCGCGGGTTTATGCAGGTTTGCCCCGCAACCGCACCGCACCGCCCCGTTTACCATCTCTATCTGCAATCATGCATAGACCCTAAGAAGTCGTTGAGGGAGTTATTCTTGCTCACAACCCCTTAAGGTTTGCACTCACTTTCTTTCGATAGAAAAAGGAAGAACTACCTAAATTGTTTGAAATTACGTCTGTTGTTTTTTATGGTTACCTTTAGTCTAGAGATTGATTACACACAAGGCAGTTAGTCAGGTAGTTAGCACATTTTGTAGGCTGATGGGGATGATATTTTGTTTCATATTCTCAGCACGTTGATTGTTGCCAATTTCACGAAGCTATCATTACAGTAGAGTGTTGCTTTTAGGAAAAGCTGAAACATCTAAAGAGTGTAGCAGGTAGCGGTCAAAGAATTGGGTGAAAAGCATGGTTTACTAGGTTCAAGTTCTAGCATTAGACAAATACCGCTAGGTGATTTCTTTCATATGCATTAACGTTGATGGACATAGTTATCCAATAACTGTGTTCATGAGAGGTAAGAGATAGTATTGATTAAAGATATCGATATCTTGCCAATATTCGTAGTTCAGGTCCTATAGGAATCACATTTGAGTTGACGCCAATTTCTCACATTTTGGTGTCATTGGCTATCTGATGGTGATGTAGAGTTGGGTCTGCTGCAAAATCTCTCATAGAAGAATCTTGAGCGGACATCTCTTTTCACAGAGAAATAACTCCATAAACAGGGCAAACAGGCAATAAATGCAAAATAAATAAATAAACCATAGTAATGAAACTGCAAATAATTGGCTCAGATACAACGAGCGTTGTTCGTATTGTTCCTATCTCAAGCACCTGAATAATTAGCTGCAGAATTTGGTGAGAGAGAATGACAACAGTTGCCAAACTCTGAGGCCAGGAAAAAAGAAAAAGCAACACGAAATTGGTAAGACTTGAGAATCATATATATATCATGCTTGACATCAATATGGAAGATGTTAGAGCATGTAGCTGATAGTCAATGTTACTAAATAGATGAGAATCCCATAACTGGAATTTTGTGGAAGTTTAACTAGAACTTTTAAGACTTCTTTTATGATGGTGTCCAGGCCAGCTTGTTTGTATCTCAATTATTCCACCGAATATTTACTATCTCTCCGCAACACAAGTATCGGGTAATTATGCTGACTTACGGTTAGGCATATGTAGAGGTGTACATAGGTCGGGTTGGTTCGGATTTCACCATTACCAAACCAAACCAATTGTGTCGGGTTATTAAATCTAAATACCAAACCAAACCAATAAAACTCGGGTTTTTCAATCTCGGATTTTCTCGGATTCTTCGGGTTCTTCGGGTTTTTTTCGGATTTTTTCCGGTAAAATCTTCGTAGAATAAAACATATAACGTATGCTCAAAATATTTCTTTAATCCTAGTAAGATACAACTATATAAAGTATTTTTCAAGAAAATAATATAAAATATGAGATGTGTCATGGCATTATCCCAAAATATTCAACAATAAAGACAATAAAATTATGTAATATAAATATTGCTAATTAAAAAGCCATAATAAAAATAAACATAATCTAGAAGTACTAAGTCATGCTAAAATAAATAGACTAATAAAGGAATATTAATTACATGACTAAACGTTAAAGAAAAATAAAAATAGGTTATGCATTTTTATCTAAATTATTGCAAAAATAAAAAATAAAATAGATATTCAATATATTCTCGTTCGTAATATTGAACTGAATGTCTTTTGTTAGCATTAGTATTGATTTGATTTTGGTTTGGGCTTTTGTTAGCATTATTTAATTTACTAATATTAATGGCTATAAAACTTATTGGAGCATTCAAAAGTTCTAAGTCAACCTTGAAATAATACCTTAAAAAATAAAATTATGAATTTTTGTAAGAAATATTTATAAATTACATCACAATAAGTATATTTATATATTAAATATATTTAATATTTCTATATATGTAATATCGGGTTGGTTTGGTTTCAGTTTGACTTTCTTTAGTTAAAACCAAACCAAACCAATTGTGGTCGGGTTATTTTTCCCAACACCAAACCAAATCAAACCAAACCATAGTCGGGTTTTTTTTCTCGGTTTGACTCGGATTATCGAGTTGGTGCGGTTTATCGGTTTCCTTTGTACACCCCTAGACATACGAGAAGAAATTACACCACACCTTTGGGTGTAATTTCATTTTTGGGATTTGAACCTGAAACTTCATGGTTCTCCTGCCACTTTATTGACCATTACACCACACCTTTCGGTGCTTGATATTTTAAGACACTTGTAACCAATTTGTCAGTAAAAATTGCACGGGGTGCCCTATTTGGTCGCCCTCATTTAACCTATACCCATTTTTTTAAAAAAGTTTTAACTTTTACTCACTTTTTAAACAACTTCAGTCCCCTTTTTCCTCCTCCTCTTCTTCTTTCTTCTGCTGCTGTTTGTGCCGCTATGAAACTTCAGTTCAGCGGATGATTGCCATAAGTATGTTTATCAGATTATTTAAAGCAAATTATAAATAATTACGTAAGTTAGTAGACAATAATTTGTGAATATTTTCACATAATTATGTTCTTTTCACGTTTATTGTTTCCAAAATTTATGATTTAGATACTGTCGGCAATCGGATTATCTTATAGTAGTAATACACTATGAAAGATTAAGGTGATTATTTATGTAGTATGTTAGAAGACTTTTTCAAAAACTTCAGCTTATATAGTGCTGAAGTTTTTACAAATGAACTAAGTAACTTCAGCATCTTCTGCTGAAGTTTTTGAAAAAGCTTATCCAGGACAAAATACTTCAGCTTATTTAGTGCTGAAGTTTTTACAAATAAACTAAATAACTTCAGCATCTTCTGCTGATGTTTTTGAAAAAGCTTTATGACAAAACTAATGAATACAGGACAAAAAAATTTCAGCTATTTTAGTGCTGAAGTTTTTACAAATGAACTGAATAACTTCAGCATCTTATCTTGGACAAAAAAACTTCAGCGTACTGGCTTTGCTACTTCAGGCCCGTCTACTAGAATGTTGAAGTTTTGCGTGATTGCCTTTGCTACTTCAGTCCCGTATGCTGAAGTTACGCGAAAAAGTGGGTACGTTTGCAATTTTTTTTACAAAGCGAGCACAAATTAAAACGTGGTCCAAAAAGCGATATAGATGCAAATCCCCCAATTTGACATTATGGAAGGCCGATCAAAGATTTTTATTCAGTAAGTTCAGAATATTATTACACTCCCTATTCTTTTGTGACAATGAGTGTATGTAGTAATTGTATATTAAAAAAAAAAAACTAGTACATATAGAATATTATTCAAACGGAAGACTTACACGCTGCTTTAAGTTATACATCCTCCACTAGAAAAGGTAATTAAAGCATGCCCATTATCATGTTATACATGCCAAATTATGCATTGCAAAGTTCCAGCAGCGATTTGGAGGCAGACCTTGACGAGACGCGAGGCGGTGTTAATGGGAGGTTAGAGATTTGGAGGTGGACCCTGGAGTCTAAAGGTTTCAAGTTGAGTAAAACCAAGACAGAGTACTTGAAGTGCAAGTTCAGGGGGGCGACTCAGGGTGGGGACGAAGGAGTAAGGCTTGATTCTAAGTCATCCCTAGGAGAAAGAGTTTTAAATACCTTGGGTCGGTTATACAAAGGAAGGGGGAGATCGACGAGGATGTTACACATCGTATTGGGGGCAGGATGAATAAAGTGGAGGCTCGCTTCAGGTGTTTTGTGTGATAAGAATGTGCCACCTAAACTTAAAGGTAAGTTTTATAGAGCGGTGGTCATACCGACTATGTTATATGGGGTTGAGTGTTGACCAGTCAAGAACTCCAATTTTCAAAAGATGAAGGTGGCTGAAATGAGTATGTTGAGATGGATATGCGAGTATACCAGGCTGGATAGAATTAGAAGTGAAGTTATTCGGGATAAGGTGGGCGTAGCCCCTGTGGAGAACAAGATGCGGGAGGCGAGACTTAGATGGTTCGGACATGTGGAAAGGAGAG